TTGGAACTGGTTCCGATTCATTGGTTTCCTCCCGATCTCCCTCGGAAATGCCGAACTCGTGTTCCCTCCCACCAGCCTGTTTTCCACAGGCACCCTGAAGCCCACAGCGCTGTGAACACGCTCCTGTTTAAAGGTAGGCAAACTAGGGAGACCCGTCCCTGAACAGCATCAGAATCGATCGTGTGTCTAGGCAAGACAAAGCTCAGCCGGGCCCTGGCTGGTTTGGAGGGGTGGATAGCGCGTCGGGCTGCGGACTGAAGGGTCCCGGGTTTGGTTCCCGTCAAGGCGGGTTGCAGGCTCGATCCCCTGTGAGGGGCATGCAGGAGGCAGCCGATCAGTGATTCTCTCATCATTGTTGTTTCTGTCTCTCTCTACCTCTCCCTTCCTCTCTGAAATCAACAAAAATATATTAAAAAGAAAAAAGGTCAGTTGGGCTCAGGGATCACAGGAGCTTTTTACATCTGGGGTGCCAGGGAAGAAAGCTGCGTCCAGTCTTAAGCTTACTCAAAGGACAGAAACTTACTATGATGATGATTATTATGTTTATTTCTAATAAATGCAATATTTGATTCTCCATTAGTTTTTTTTCCAATTTTGTTACAAATTTGGGTGCAGCATAGAGCGGTATGCTATTTATTATCCATCCTTAAATTCCAAAAGAAATGGTTTTCAGAACTAAGTAGTGAAAAGAATAAGCAAATGGCCCTAGCTGGTTTGGCTCAGCGGATAGAGCTTCGGCCTGGGGACTGAAGGGTCTCGGGTTCGATTCCAGGCAAGGGCACATGCCCGGGTTGAGCGCTCGATCCCCAAATCAATGATTCATCATCGATGTTTCTATCTCTCCCTCTCCCTTCCTCTCTTGAAATCAATAAAAATATATTTTTTTAAAAAATGGCTCTTTAAAAAAAAAAAGGAATAAGCAAATGTAATACTCTGTTACCCATTAATCACGTTTACAACATTTATCACATTTAACATGAGGACCAAGGTCCCACCGAGCAATACAAAAGAAACGCTCTTTCTGGTAAGTGTGGCCTTTGGTAGCACAAACACATGCAGCCACATCAGGGCATCCTGGTTCATCTGGTTGGTAAAGGGGATCTGTGGGGCAGTACATTTTACACGGGTGTGTAGGCCACGTAGACAGGACATCAGGTGGACACCCCACTGCAAGTGGCCTGGAGTATAGGGGCGAGGGGTTTGCACTTCCTTCCCAAGATCACAGCTCAGTGCTGGTTTGAAAGCCCAGGACCAATACGATCCCATCTCTACAGTCAGTCTGGCAATGTGTGCGGGCACAGGGAGTGGAAGAGCTGGAGGAGGGAGGTGTTATAACCACCTGCGGATGGCGGGGTGGGGTAGGGGTGAGGCAGCAGAAGGCTCAAGGTGGGGGTTCCAGAACAGGAGACATTTGGAGACCAGGAGAGAGTTCAGTCAGGGCGAGGGTGTGGGGAGGGACAGGAGGAAAACCCCGGCTGAGCTCTTTGGGGGCCCCCAGGGCTGCTCCACCTGGCCAGGGGCACAGCTTTGTGAGAACAAAGAGGCTCTGGCTGGGTGGGGTGGGGTGGGCGTCATGGAGAGGTTCCTTTCGCGGCATGAAAGTCGGGAGCCAGGGGCTGAGGTGCGATGGAATGCAGACAGGGAGCGGTGGACCGAAGCCACGGGGCACAAGTCATCTCACAGGCATGTCCTTGGCCCGGTGCCGGTAAGGGGTAGTCTTTAGAAGCTGGAAAGGTGAGCAAACAGAGGCCCACTAGAGCCCCCAGAGAGGAACGCACCTGCTGACACCTGGAACTCGGCCCGTGGAGACCTTGTGGACTTCTGACCCCCAGAACTGTCACTAGATTTGTGCAAGTGTGTGGTGATGGTCGTAGCAGCAGACTTACATCGTCCCCAAAAGCATGGTGGCCTGGGCCTCCTCCCCGATGGATGGCGAGCCCCGGACCGTCTGGGCGCGCGTCCCTGCTCTGCCACCGAACGGCTGTTGACCGCACAACCTGCTTCATCTCCGGGCGCGTGAAATAGGGGCTGCTTGTCCCCATTCGGAGGCCAGAGAAGTGC